GCTGGGGGCGAGGCTGAGGTAAAAACCGTGGCTTTTCAGCCACCGAAGGCCTTTTCTCGGGGCGAGGTGGGCTTCGGCCGGGGTCCGTCGTGGTGCCGGGGTGGTTGGCTGGGCACTCACCTCGGCGCTGGTTTGCTTTCCCCTCCAAACAGGTTAGGCAAGACAGCGCTTATAAGCATCTGAAAGTGAAATATTATATCGGAGGGTATGAGTGCTCGTGTAATGGGTTGTTTTTTTCCAGTTAGGGGTAGCATTGCCCTGCCCCACAGGGTGCAACTCACTATCCCTGCTCGTCTCCAGCGTGTTTGTGAGTGGGCTTTGCTCACACCTCGGGTCATGCCGGCCTTGGGGTCACCTGCCCGCGCTTGTGCAATGTGTGGTGATATCAGAGGTCCGGGTCAAGGAGTTAGTCCACAGCAGAGAGGCTGGAAGCACGTCCAGGAGATAAGGGGGCAGGTGGGCACTGGCAGAGGTCCTGGAAGCCTTCGTGAGGATCTGTAGTCAGTGTCCTTGAGTGGGCGTGTTTTGCAATGGAAATAGTTGTTGGAGGACTTTGATCTAAATTGGGTAGTACATCTGTAATTTTATGTATATTGAACTATTTTTTTCTCTCTCTTATTCCAAGCCAGTGCTGCCTTAACCGACAATCAAATTTTTTTCTAGTATAGGATCTTAATTTAGAGCCATTTTCTGCCTTTCTTTAGAGCCAGCACTGCTAACAGCTGGGAAAATAAATTGTTATTATTTGTTCCTGTGCGTTATAAACAAGATCATTCACTAAATTCCTAACATATGTGTAAGCAAGCTGTAAAAACTGTCCCTGATGTGGCCTGCAAGTTTCTATATTAGCAGTCATGCCTGGTGAGAAAGGAACCCATCTTCATTTTTTTCAGGATCTCTGAGACTCCAGGGCACAGAGGTGAATGTGACATTTTCTGTCTTATTACCAGAATTCAACTGCGATGGAAGCAGTAAAGGTGTAGCCTTCAAAATACAGGTCACGAGCAATTTTAGATGAGCACATGCTTCAAAAACTTGTCAACTATTGGACTGCTAAGTGAATTGAGAAGTAAATCCTAAGTTGCTAGCTTCTCAGTCTGCCAAGGAGAGTAAAATGCTCTAAATTCTGGGCAGTTCTTTTGGGTACACTGAATAAACATTTTAAGAGGTTGGCACATCTGGCTTTGTGGATGCTGTGACACAGGATAAATTAAACTTGTTGAGTGAGACACAGTTAGAAGTAAAAATAAGGAAGAAGCAAGGATGTTTAAAAAAAGGGAGTGTGAGAGATAGTATCAAGTCAGCTCAATGATTCAGAGGAGATGAAGTGAAAATTAATTTTTCCTGTTAGTAAGGCTTTGCTTCTTTTGGTGAACACTATATCTGGGGGCTGTAGGGACAGAATTGGAGATTGTGGAGCTAGAATTGAAGGAAGGAAGCTCCAGAGAGGGAAGGTAGTCAGTGGTGATGGTAAGCCTAGGGAGAAAAAGGATGTTTATGTAGGCAGGAGATGCAGTTGTGCTGAGAAGAAAGAAGACTTGAGAGTGATGGCCAGTGTAGGAAAGGTCGGAGGGGAAAACTAGAGAGAGTGTAACTGGAATGAATAGAATATGTTCCCTGACATTTTGAATAAAATAATAATTTGGGGAAAGGAATTGAACCTGCGGCTGGACTCTTCCAGGTTGGATCATTGCATAATTCAGGTTGGAAGGGACCTTCAGAGATCTCCAGTCCAACCTCTTTGGTTGGACTGGCTTTCAGCCAGGTCAGTTGCGAGATCAGACATGGTGGCTCAGGGCTTTGTCTGTTTGGGTCTCCAAGGAAAACCTCCAAGGCTGGAAACAGCTCAGTCCCCTGTTCTGTTGCCTGACACTGTCATCATGGGGAGGACAGTCTGAACCTCTCTACTTCAAACCTTTTTTCTTTCAGTTTCAGAGGGCCTATATTCTCTCATCCTTTTGCGCTGCACCACAGCATGTATGCTTGGCTCCATCTCCTCAATCACTACGTAGGTTTGGGGGGCTGCTGCTAGGTCCCCCCCAAAAGCTGTTCTCCAAGCTGAACTGGTCCTCTCATACCAGTGCTGAGCCTCCAGCCATCTCTGTCTCCCTTCACAGAACTTGCTCCCATTTGTCAACAAATACCTTATATTAAGGGACCCAAAACTCGTCACAGGGTGAAAGTGTGGTCTTATGAGTGCCAAATAGAGGGGCATAATCCCTTCCCTTGATCTTCTGGTTATGTTGTTCTTGTAGCTGCTGGCCTGTGCTCAGCCAAGTCCCCCGAGGCCTTTTCAGGAGAGTGGTCCCTAGCCATTCAGTTCCTAGCCTGTGTTGTTTCAGGGACTCTTTCTTCCCAGGTGCAGGGCTGTGCATCTCTCCCTGTTAAATTTCATCAGGCTTCTGTCCGTCTAGCCTTTTGGGCACCCTCTGGATAGCAACCCTCCCCTCAAGCTTGTGAATCGGTTGTCATCCACCCTCAGAGCATTTTGTCACCTTCTTCAGCTTGTTTATAAAGATATTAAACAGGACTGGTCCAGGAGTGATACTCCACCCTGGTCTCTGGGCAGAGTATGACTTCACCACCACCCTCTGAGCCTGACTGACCAACTAGTTTTTACCCATCAGGTTGTGCACCCATCCAGACCATAACATCTTAAATTGGGTGAAAAATATTGTGAGAGATGGCATTGGAAGCCTTGCTTTCATGACCCCATTGAGCAAAGGGCCTGTTTTTACTACCAGTGTAGTAGCAGAAACCCCTGTGCCCTTGATGTTCTTCACAAGCCTCATCTGCAGGTGAACTTTGGTTTTCCTGACGCCACCCTGACATGCCCAGATGATATTTCTAATTCCTCCTTTGTGGTCTGTCCTTGCTACTACTGCCTGTATGACACCTTTTACACAGGAGCTGAGCCACAAGTCCCCAGCATAGCCATGCCAGTCTCCTGGTCTACTTTTCTTCCTGAATGGACAACTCTTGCCCCTGGAGGGTCTTAAAGCCCAGCCAGCGTTCCTCAGCTTCCTTCTCCTTTAGAACTGCCTCTCACTGGAGCCCATTTACCTCTTCCCTGACTAAGGTGGAATCTGCTGACCTCATACCAGTTGGTTGAAGGTAGAAGCCAGATTCTGGCCTTACTTGACTGAGTTTTACAGTCTATGTATTGTGGAGATGAACTTTCCTCACCGCATGTGGCTTGACTCTCGGCGGTATTTTTTTGTGATTCAGTGTGCTGTTTTGGGATTTTTCTTCCCATGCCTCTCTGTGACCCAGTTTTGCAGAGGAAAGCTGTTTGAAATGGTATCTGCAGGGCTCTTGTTGCTTCCTGGAACCCCATAGATGCCTAACTGTGCCACTGCAGGGGAAGATCCCTCCCTGCCTCATCCCAGTTTTCTGCCTTCTGTAAGCAAACATTTATCCTCCTAGAGTGTTTTACAGAAGGATGCTCTTGCACTGGAGGGAAAAACCAGACCTGGAGAAACAGTAGCAAGTCAAGTCTGGCCCAGACTGAAAGGAAGACTAATGCAAGCTTGGAGGCTGGTATAAAACATTTGCGATACGAGTGAAAAGTGAAGTTGCTCTAGTACATATTTTATATGCATTCTTTAACTGGGGCTGAAAACTTGGCCGCCTTGTTTTTTTTCTACTGAGTTACAGAAAGCAACACAAGTTTTATAGAGAACACTGAAATGCATATTCCTTCATATGGAAAACCTGTGGTCTAAGAGGCTTTGTTGTTGAATAGGCTTTAAACTGGAGTTGCTGTTTTGTTTTTCAAAAATTCAGTGGCATTGCTTGTGTAAGCCAGACATCTTTCTGACACTTTAAAACTTAATAGTTTCTCCAGAGCTTTTGATTAGACCCATTTTTTGGGAAGTGAAAAAATGTAGTTACTGGGAAACTGTTGAGTTTAGTGTAATACCTTAAGAAGTAATTGCCATGTCTGAAAATCAAGTTTTTGGCACTTGCATGTGGCACCCTGCATTGGCGTTGTGGTTCTGGACTTGAGCTTTATACCATGTTGAGACAGCAGTTTTTTGTGTTTAGAGGGCTGTGAGTAGTAAATTACAGAGAGCTACCTAGGTGTGTTGTCTCATTAGAGACTGGCATTTTGGTTTTATAACTTACTCCTCTTCCACCGTTGGAGAATGTGGCACCTCTGTTGTAAGGAGTGTGTTGGATCATTTTACAAAAGGGGAGAAATGTAATTGGGTGACCTGTGTAACCTTCTTGCTTTATAGTGTTTGCAAACTTGGAGAGTGGCCTTCAGTAGTACTGTACTTGCTGTAGCTGTAGCCATTTCTTTTGTACTTAGGGGCTGCTTTCTTAGTACAATGATGAAGGTATTTTGTCTGGTTGGAAGACTGCTGTAGTTTCTTTTGCCCTTAAAGAGTGCTAAAAGTCAATGATATGCAGATTTTGCTTTGTTCTCCCTCTTTACCCTCCACTTTCCCCTTTACCTTTAGGAAACTAGCAGGATGCACTCTCTTCATCACGGGCGCAAGCCGGGGCATTGGCAAAGCCATTGCCTTGAAAGCTGCTAAGGATGGTGCAAACATTGTGATAGCTGCCAAGACAGCTGAGCCCCATCCTACTCTTCCAGGGACTATCTACACTGCTGCAGCAGAGAGTAAGTTGTAATAAATGAAGGTGAGCTTCAGGTGCTGGGTGTAGGCCCTAGCTTAATTGTCATACCTGAGTGGAAAACTGCATAGACTCTCTTACTTCCAAATCACCTTTAATAAAATAATCTTAGTGCTTCTCTTGCCTCCCAGGAATGCTGGTAGGTATCAAAATGTTACTGTAATGAAGATGTATGTGTATGGATGTGAAAATGCTGTGTTAATTGAGATGTATGTGTATACTGTATACATTCTCAGTGTTAAGGTTTGGCTTTGGCTTCCCTGTTCTTTATACAACACATTAAAAGGTTGCAATTCGAGAGTGTGATTTTCAGTGCCTTCTTGAAGCATATAATTGAGAGATTCTCAGTAGGTTGATGCTGTTTGTTCCATCTGACAGCAAATTTTTACGTGTTTAATTTTTTAATTGTGCAGTTGAAGCAGCTGGAGGAAAGGCTTTGCCATGTGTGGTTAATGTGAGGGAAGAACAGCAAATTATTAATGCCGTGGAGAAAGCTGTGAAGACTTTTGGAGGTACGCTAAGGTGTGGAGGAGACATTAACAGACAGATTGTTAAAAAGAGAAGAGAACTTGTGCTTTTTGTCTGTAAATGTTAATGTGAAATGGCTTATTTTAAAACCAGGGATTGATATTTTGGTGAACAATGCAAGCGCCATCTCTTTGACTGGCACTTTGGAAACAGAAACGAAGAAGGTCAATCTTATGATGGATGTCAATGTACGAGGAACCTACCTTACGTAAGTGCTGAGAGAGGGACGCAAAGTAATTGTAACAAAATGTATGATGTTATCTCAGTTTTTCTGAGAAATTGTGTAGCTGTCTTGCTGCCCTAGAGTTGGAGTGTAAGTATTCTACATGTGCTGACAGGAAATTGCTCAGTTATTGGCCAACTGGTTTGCTATTAATATTTGCAAGAATTAATTGCAAATAGAGTAAACAGGAACCTTATTATTGTAGTCATTAAGTGTTAACAAGCCTCTCCATGCAGGTAGGAAGCAGAAACTAGTTTATTTGAAATGGAACTCCAGCTTGGCTTTGTTAAATGCTGTCTCCTCTTTCATTTCAAGCAAAATGACTAACTCTTTGCATACATCAAGTACAATGTGTTTGTCAGCTTCCTTCTCATAAGCTTTCTCATCTTTAGAGACGTTATATAACTTCCCATAGTTAAAAGAGAAATGTTAAAGATGTAACTTAATGATCTACGGTGTTCTCCGCCTACTCTCAGCTTATCAATTCTATCATTTATTTAAATTACAATACCAAGATTTGATTTCACAATTCCTGTGGTCCTTATTTTGCTCATTTTTTGGAAACGGATTTAGCAGGTGGTATCATCTTTAGACTTACAAGATGTAATTTAAAGTTGCTCTGTTTTAAAAGGAAAACTTTGTTTTTGACAAGGTTGTGTTATAAAAACCACCTCTTAGGATGATGCAGATTCTCTAAATTCAGTTGTTGCTTGATGTGATCAGGAGCTTTTATATCAAAGTTTTATCTACCATAGTGTCTGTCATTCTCCTTTGTGCAGATGAATTTGGTTATCAGATGTTATGATTATATTCCTTAATGTTCTTTTGCTAAGAATCAGTGAAGGGTTTTGCCACTAGAATAGTGTAAAAACACACATGAACAGCAGCTTTCTGAATTAGAGAGATGTGTGCACAGCATGTAGATAGCATGGAGAGAGGAGGGTGGAAGCAAGAAAGCCTGTGCTTGCAGAGTGGGATTTCTGTGCTTCTGCTCTCTGATGTCTGCTTGTGAAAGGCTCTAACTGTAAGTGGTTCTGTGCTCAGAAAGGAAAACTGGCTTTGGAATTTGGCATTCCAGAAAACACTGTGGATATCTCTTGCTAAATCTCTGAATGGTTTCCACTGTATTGCCAGTGGCAAGCTCCACATACCCCTCACCACCCAACAGCAACAATCACTTTCTTGATGGTACATCTAGCTATTCCAAATTATGGAGAATTCTTAAAGTCATCTTTCCTTTCAGTGCTACTCTGCCTGAAATAGATTAAAATAGATTAAAAAACCAGGTTCTGTTGCTGTGAATGAAAGAGTATATGAAAGATTAATGCCTCTCAAGGGAAGTTACAAATGATCTTTGTCATTGCTTGTATAGCTGTCAATTGGGAAGACCTAGTGCAGCATTTCAGCCTTTTCTTCCCCTTGCTTTGTGTGTTGCTTTTGTTTGTAATTTGTAGAGATCTGTTTGCAATTTTATGTTGAGAAACTAATAATACCTAAAAAAAAAAAAGTGTGGATTTTTTGTCTGTGCGGAGTAGGTAGGGAGGATGTCCGATCTTACAGAGTTTATCTGTTGACATAGTTTTGGTTCCTGTGCATTAAGAAATTGAGACATCTGTTAGTGAACCTCGCACACTGCCACTGAAAAGAGTTGAGACTCCAGGACATTTAAGTGGGTGGTAAATGATTTACTTTACTACTTCAATTATTTTACAGTTGAAGGTGTCCCTTCTGTGGCAGACAGTACATGTAGGTTCTGTTGAAATGTGAATAGTAGGTCAGTAGTGTAGTCCACTGTGGTGCCGTTCTCCCTATGAAGCTTGATTAAAAATTCTCCAGCAGAGCTGAAATAAAACCATGCCCTAGTTCTAGGGGTGAAGTTAAATGGCAGTTTCTGTAAAGTAGAAGTTATAATTTACAGATATGTGTAAATTCTAAGTTGACTGAAATAGTGACTCTTCTAGTCAGCAGAAAATAGGTTTTCAGTTTTGCTTGGAATATTTGTAATAGCCTTTCACTATACAATATTATTTCTTTAATGTGATTTTAAAGAAGAAATAGGTATGTGATCAGAAGAGGATATATTTATGACTAAGTGATGCTCTGTACTGTTAATTTTGTTTGTTGCCTCATAGCATTTTGTTGCCCCCACCAGAACTATTGCAAGGAGATTATGGCTTCTGAGCATCTGGAAAATCAGCTTTGGTCAATGCTGCTGCACTATTTGGAGA